TAGGTTTCAAATCAGAATTATAAGTTTGCTTCTTTTTCCTGCTGAAACTCAGAATTTTACCCTTTAATATAATCTTTTCGATATAGCTTTATCTGTTAGTTACAGTATTATCAATTTATAGGGCCACATACATGGAAATGTCTGCTGCTTTTTTTTTAGTTCTTTTAGATATCATTAGCTAAAATATCGCATTATTAATATTGTATTAATTTTGTTTAGGGGAGATGATTTCAGACCAGCCTATGGGAAACTTATCATGCTGTGTGCAACATTTCCCAATGTACCAGTAATTGCAATGACTGCTACAGCTAATAACATCGACCGAATGCAAATAAAGGAGTCACTTGGTTTGGAAAATTGCTATGAATTGGTTGCTAACCCTGATAGAAGTAATATTTTTTATGAAAAAATATTCAGACATGGTCAAGATATTGATGCTTTTGAGAATATTTGTAGACCAATTGCTATTGACCTGCTGGACATGAAAATTGACTATCCTCTAACAATTATTTACATGCCTTTGAAATGGTGCGGTTTTGTGTACAGGCTTTTCGAAAGTATCCTTAATATTCACCAATATCATCCTTTTGGTGCCATGCCACTTCCAAAGAATAGACTGTTTGCCCAATTTCATGCGCCACAAACAGCCAAAATGAAGGATGAGATTCTGGTACAATTGAGCATGGAAACACCGAAGGTAAGAGTGGTTTTTGCTACAGTAGCCTTTGGAATGGGAGTTGATATTCCTTCAATCAGGCACATTATACACATTGGACCCCCGAGAACAATACGTGAGTATTTTCAAGAAACTGGGAGAGCAGGTCGAGATGGGAAATATTCAAAAGCTACCCTCTATTATAATAATAGGGATATTGGAAAAAACAAACAAGGGATCCAGGATGAAATAAGAACATTTTGTCGTAGTGAAAACCAATGCTTACGATGTTTGCTTTTGGAATGTCTTGACATCAACAAACCAGAGTCATTTTCACCAGGACATTTGTGTTGCAGTGTGTGCATGAAGGCTTGTTCATGTATTGAGTGTAGTTTAATACAGTGACATAAGAACTGTATTTGGGTTGATGAAACACTGTCTGTTTCCTGGCACATTCAACAACCAGTGCTAAATACCATTAGCAGAATCATACTAGTATACTATTGCAAATGCTGTAATTTGATTGGCTACTCTACTCACTACCTATTCCTCGATAGATAGCGAGTAGCAAAACAATAATTTCCCTAGCCCATTTTTTTAAGAAAATCGCTTTCAGTCTGCATGTTTCATTGTTTTTGTGCAATATTTTATATTTGATCTCTGATTCTACTAAAACAATTAGATTACTTGCTCTCAATTTCTATGAGGTGACAGTTGATCCGGGCTTTGCCTTCATCAACTTCACGTCATAGAAATCTGGAGCTCGTAATCTAATTATTAAATAGTAAATTGAAGAAATCATACTGTTTGGTACCATTCATTATCGCAACTATTTGTCACAACTATATAATGACATATGATGGTCCTTACCAAGTGTAATTCTGTGTATTAAAGTGTAGTCCCTGTGTAAAATTACAGTGTGTACCAAATATAATTTCTATATGGATTGCAGTGCAGCCCTGGTGTAAAACTATAGTATTTAGCCAATGTATTCCTTATGTACAGTATTACAGTGCATCCCTGGTATAAAATGAAAGTGTGCACCCAATGTATCCCTTGTGTGCACACCCCTTTGTAGACTAAAATTGTCTAGTGTCAGTTATAGTAAAATAGCAAAGTTTGGCACAGCCAGGAAATTACAACTTAATATTGGCCTTTACAATAAAGGTGGGTGCCTCCCAGTCCTTTACAAATTTCTAACATACATACCATTACAATGGACCTTCCCCCTTATAACTAAAATTTCGATCTAGACAAAAATTTCATCACAGCTTGAAAGAGCATCACAAAATTAGTAATATTCCAAAGTTTTGTTGCAAAATCTTGTAAAATGCGGATAATATAGCCTTGCGAAGGTTGCCGTTTTTCAGTCATTTTGTATTACAAACAGGAAATTGACATCCGATTCGGGTGTTGGGGCTGCAATTTCCCGTTTGTAATGCAAAATGACTGAAAATTGCAAACTTTGCAAGGCTCTATTTTCCTCGTTTTACAACATTTCGCAACAAAACTTTGGAATATTACTAATTGTGTGATGCTCTGTCAAGCTGTGATGAAGTATTTGTCTAGACTTACCTAGATCAAAATTTTGGTTAAAAGGGGAAAGGTCTATTAGTTGTGAATTGATATCTGATCATAAATCTTAAAGTGGTAGCTTGCTGATAGCAAAAAAAAAATTAATTTGTTCATTTTAGTGATATGAAATGATCAATTCACATCTAACTACAGTATAATGCACTGACAATGATTATGATGTGGATCAGAGTTCATCTTCATCTTCTGACAATACATCCACTGGTCCATGCTTCACAATGTTCTTCTTGTGTCTGTCTAACCATTCATTAAATGCAGCTTCGTTTAATGTTGCTAGTGTGTCAGATGATACATCTGTGAAACCTTCATGACATCGGTCATTAATATCTTCAAATGGTTTCAGCTCCAGAAGATCAAACAAAATCAAGTTTTCATCCTTTGCTGAAGATTTGTGCTTATGGGTGGAATCCTTTTTCTTTATTGCCACAGCTTCATCAAAGTTTCTGATGATTTCTGCAATTCCTCCAGCTGCTCTGCTAAACCGTTCAATTGATCTTGGTGTTTTGTTAGCTCCCATATCTTTGATGCCTTTCTTCAGCTCCCTATTCAGGTTCTCTTGAAGGAGATCTATTTCAATATTCTTTAAGGCACCACCTGTCCAGTTGGCAGTTGAAGCCCACCTAGTTTGATGAGCCTGTCTCTTCGTTAAGAAGACTTCATCTTGCAAAATACTGATGAGCATTTCAATTGCATAAGTGTTGTGGCTGGGGTCACTTTTGAAATGCTTGAGTAACACCTTACGTAGAGCTGCTAGCTGGTCACCATTGCCTGACTTCACTGCCTGTCTAATGCATTCTAATATAAAGAAAAATCTTAGAAGGCACAGTGAATATTCCCTTACTTGATCTGGAGAATCATCTGATGCTTCGTTAAGATCAAGATCAACTTGTGTCTTGGGCAGTAAATACTCATCCACAAACTTATCAAGGACTGCGTTAAGGTATTCCAGCTTATCCCCATCCCCATGGATGACATCATATGGACAGAGATGGTTTTGTGGAGGATCATCAATACCAGCCATGCCAAAAAAGTGTAGCAAGGCTGTGACAGTGTAAGCTCTACCCACACTAAGAAACAACTGTTCACAGTCCTCATAATGCTTGATGTCCTTAGTGACATTCCGACGTTGTAATTTCTCACGGAAGAATCTCAATGTACCTTTTGCTCGCCCTGATTTCCCATACAGTTTCTTAAATATGAACTGGAATGATAAAAGTATATAACAATTATGAAATAACTTTAGTTAACATGAACTGTAGCCTGCGGACAGGCTCTCTTTGAAATCTCTTCAATTCTAAGAGCCTGTTCGCAGGCTACATTAACTGTATCCTCTCCATTTAGCCCCCCCCCCCATTAATGAGTCCTTTTTAAGTGAAGAAATTTATTAAGCCCCTCCCCTCATGTAAAGATTTCTACCAATTTATTTTCTTTTTGGAAAAATAACATGATGCTTAATTAATACATTGTCATGAACATCTTAAAACTTATATATAGTTGAAAAGTTGGAAAGTATACAGTTGAACATCCAAAAACGTTTAGAGTTGTGTTAAAATTGTTAGAATAAATAGTTGTTTTACACACATTGCTTTGAGCTGAAAGAAAATTATCATATAATTTTACCAAAAAAGCCCCCCTCTCTCAAAAAGGTCCATCCCTCTCTTTAATAAGCCCTCTCAAATGGTCTAAAAAATCCCCCAACCCCCTGAGCTCATTTTAAAGGAGATTGGCAACAAAAATTGCTTCATCTATTTTATTGCTTCATCTGAAAGAGCATGAAAAAATAAGCCGATTGGCCGTTTAATGCTCTATTCTATCTCATCTAGTTCCGAAGTTATACGCAAAAATGTGAAAATATAAATTGCTGATTCAGCACAACGTGTGACGTCATTAGCTGGGTAAGTATGTTTATTGAATACTACACTGAAGCATAGCTCAGTTATTATGGGCCCAAATCAAATGAAATTTTGCATACTGATTGTACATGATGAGACGCATGGAAAAACACTTCTAATTTTGTTGCCAAGGTAACAATGTCGTTTCCAGGCCCCTTGCGCCAATTTTATGAAACAGCTTTATTCAAGGTACTGATAAGAATAAAATAATATCAGAAGTATGTGTATGATACATATGCATGCCAAACGTTTACTTGCATGATAATAATTCGAAAATGACATACACATAGATAAATGCAACTAGTTATTCAAAATCAGTGTAAGAGGCCTGGGAACGACTGTGTTGCCTTGACAACGAAATTAGAAGTATTTACCCCATGCATCTCATCATGTACTATCTGTATGCAAAATTTCATTTGATTTGAGCTAATAATAACTCAGCTATGCTTTAGTTTACTATTCAATAAACATACTTACCCAGCTTATGACGTCACAGAATGTGCTGAATCAGCAATTTATATTTTGCACATGCATTTTTGCGTATAACTTCGGAACCAGATGAGATAGAATAAAGCAGTAAACGGCCAATCGGCTTATTTTTTCATGCTCCTTCAGATGAAGCAATAAAATCAATAACATTTTTTGTTGCCAATACCCTTTAACATCACTGGTACATATCTATTTTCGAACACTTTAAATTAAATCGGAAAGATTAATTTTTCAGCAACGGATAGAATAAGTAGTGACAAAAAGGATTTTACTGACAAAAAGGTTACGTACTTTACGTCATCAACTTCTACATGGAGGATTACAGCAATTTATCTTATCAGCAATTTATATATATATATATATATATATATATATGTATATATATATATATATATATATATATATATATATATATATATATATATATATATATATATATATATATATATATATATATATATATATATATATATATATATATATATATATATATATATATATATATATATATATGTTATATATATATATATATATATATATATATATATATATATATATATATATATATATATATATATATATATATATATATATATACTACACATTATGCCTAAGCCTTTATGCGCACGCTCACTGCATTTCACAGTTTAAAAACGGCGATAAAGCACATAAGTAAAGACATTGTAGCGCCCTTCAAGGAAAGCTCGAACAATGTCTTTACTTATGTGCTTTATCGCCGTTTTTAAACTGTGAAATGCAGTGAGCGTGCGCATAAAGGCTTAGGCATAATGTGTAGTATATAAAGTTCTGTAGTGTCCCACATCCACCACACTGTCTTCTAAAGTATATTTATTCCTGGTATGTGGAAGCTCATCATCGGTGCACTGTGCTGATGAGCCCCAAAAAGGGCGAAACAGCTGTCCACAGTTGCCGTTGTTTGAGCTTTCCTTGAAGGGCGCTACAATGTCTTTACTTATGTGCTTTATCGCCGTTTTAAAACTGTGAAATGCAGTGAGCGTGCGTGTAAAGGCTTAGGCATAATGTGTAGTATATAAAGTTCTGTAGTGTCCCACATCCACCACACTGTCTTCTATAGTATATATATATATATATATATATATATATATATATATTTATTGTATAATATTTCTTTTATCAATGTATAGTATATACGACGTATAGTACTATTGATAATACATATATCACTAGTTTTTGTTTCAGTGTATAAGAGCTAGCTGTACCAGTTTAATTTCGTTATTTAAACTAGAAATACTAATTATTAACGACGTACATCGATATACTGATATATACTGTTGTATATAAAACAAAATTTTCAAATATATCAATTACGCGCCTTTCGGAAAGCCGTTGACCTTCATGCTGTAGTCCGGGATACAAAAATCCTTATCCATGACTCCATAATAATAATCGCTTATTATAAACAGTTACTCATGCACTGTTTATTCACTCATAAGACATGCATGCATCAAATGGTTAACCTACGCCGGGCATGGCGATAAAATTCTAGCTATATAAATTATAGTTACCGTATTTCTGCAGTGTCTCACAGAAATGTATAGTGTATTAGTGATTAGAAAACTTTGTTTAATTAATTCATTATAAATATATAAAAAATTCAAAGAACGATCTTTAAATTTGAATAATTTGAAAGTATATAACTTTGCAAGTAACTAGCTATATAAATCATAAAAAAAGTAACATGTGAAATAAAAGTAAATTAACGCTGTTTTCCACAAAGACAAAATATTAATTGTATGCTTATCTATCGCCACGAAAACTTGTGGGTATTGGCTATTGTAACGCGAGCTAGAGTTCACAAGGCAACCTAAAAAACATCTGCAGGTGTCATCATGTCAGTACTATGGAAACAATATATAAATATTCAAAGACATGTTCCTCATGTGATATTAGGCTATACCTATTTACAGGTCTTACTATCAACTCGTTCATTTTACAGCGCACTGATTAGCAGGTCAAGTGGCTAGTGGGCATGTAACTATATAAATCACAACAAAATTAAAAAGAATGAAGTTTGTCCAAGGAAATATAGTCAAATATATATAGTGCAACTGGAGAGATGATTTCCGGCATAACTAATTAACTATACTATTTTAGCAGCTTTTTTGGAAACTTTAAGATCATGTAGCTGTATATATAGATCCAGAGGAAAACATAAAATAGATTAAGCGCCGCCCTCGCACTTATAGGAGGCTCCCTACAGTTTCCAATATATGTCAGTGTTTTAAAATAAAACCTATTTAATTAATTTGAATCTAAAAAAAACTAATTTTTTGCACAAGCCATTGTTTCCTCTTATATAAAAGAGTAATTTTAACCCCAATCGCTACTCTTCACGTTACCATCACAACATGACAAATGACGTCACCATATATATGGCCTATATCACAAAAGTCGTCTTAGCGGACAAATAAGCACGGTGACCTACCCTTTTTATTGCAGAAAATACATTGTTATGAAGTTTTGAATCTTTTTTGAAAGTTATTTAAAAATCGCCAGTGTAGTTTTCGAGAAACTGAATTTCAGCCTTTAAGATTGCATTTTAGCCTTTGGAAAGGCTGAAATTCAGTTTCTCGAAAACTACACTGGCGATTTTCAAATAACTTTCAAAAAAGATTCAAAACGTCATAACAATGTATTTTCTGCAATAAAAAAGGTAGGTCACCGTGCTTAATTTGTCCGCTAAGATGGCTTTTTTGGTTGATACAGGCCATATATATGGTGACGTCATGTTGTCATGGTAACGTGAAGAGTAGCAATTGTTGGTTAAAATTACTCTTTTATATAAGGGGAAACAACGGCTTGTGGAAACAACGGCTAGTTTTTTTAGATTCAAATGAATTTAATAGGTTTTAGTTTAAAACACTGACATATAGTGAAAATTGTATAGGCCTAGAGATCCTCCTTAATCGAAGGCGTTTAATCGAAGCACCGTCAGAAAAACTGTTCGTGACGCCCAACCGTAGAAGGAAAACGCCCTGATTATGAGGTTGCAATCTTTAATAGACATCGGAACTCATTTTTCTATGCATTTCAGTGTTTTTATATTATATTTTGTTGCTAATATTTCTTGTTATCTAAAGAGCGCCGCCGCAAATTTTTTTTCCGTAGACAGTCCAACTCCTCATTGATGGTCGGACGCATCATTGATCCACGTCCAGACCTCCGCGCGTTATCGATCGATCCCTTCGTACCCTGCGTAACCCACTGGTACACAATACGTCCATCACTCCACATTGTTTTTCTTCGACCACATGTAGAAAAATAGGTACGCGATGCGTACATATATCTGTGAAAAAACTTGATTCAGTTGCATCCCTTAATATAATAAATATAATAGCAAAGGAGATTTTAAAGTCAAACATAGGACAAATCTAACAATGCGGTAGACAGTACCGAGGGCAGCAGGGGCAACTCACCCCCCCCCCCCCTGAGTAAATTTAACAAATTTTATGTGATTATGATTGTAACTCGGATAATTATGCAGTCAAAAAATAAAATTAAATTTCATGCAAACAATATTCGAAGTGTCTATTTAGTAAATTGTCACTTGTCAATCCATACCCATTTTCAAAACTTTATTGTAATCACATGAAGCAAAAGTTCTGTCACTTGTTGTTTACACTTGCCAACATTAACTGTTGAGTAACATACACAAACTATTCGAGGAACATGCATTACTGTAGCAAAGAGTCAATCGTATATTGAAGACCACTGAATAGTAGAGAATGTTTTGAAGGTCATGAGTGAAGTATATAATTCAATTTAACCTGAGTATCAGGCTCTATTTTACAAATAGAGTCTGATACAAACTTAATCCGAACGCTTTCCACCCACAGCAAAGTTTATATTTAGTACCCAATCAAAACGTCGCAGGAGAAATTTAAATTTCACACAACGACAACAACAATCTAATTATAGCATAGGCAGACCACTAAACGGCTGAATTTAAATTAAAACTGCAATGAACTTATACAATTAACAAAAATAATCACAAATTAGCGAAATATATTGCAATACTATATATATATATATAAGTATACTTTATAACTATATGCGTCAGTTAGTCGATAGTGCAATCGGATGGCGATTTAATATAAGCTACATTTGCAATATATTTCGCTAATTTGCGATTATTTTCTAATTTTACTGCAGTTTTAATTTAAATTCAGCCGTTTAGTGGGCTGGCTATGATTGTAGTTGTGATCATTATAAAATATATCAACAACAATAGTATAATCTAATTAGCACCAGCCAATCAAATGACAGATTTAAAAAAACGTTTGTCTATAATCGGCCAATCAGACGAAAAAGCCAGAATCTGGCTTTTTGCATGCGGCGCGGTAAAGAATTGTATGATCAGGCCCTCCTTCATTCGCCGCCGCCAATTAATCCTGGCGAATGAAAACATAAGGGCCTGATACTCAGGTTAAATTCAATTCCAATCCTGTGCACAGTTGATGGGTCTTGTCTAAAAGTACACACGAGTGACCACGAGTGACCACGAGTGACCACGAATGACCACGAGTGACCACGAATGACCACGAGTGATTTCTGTGTTTAAAAGTCATAAAATAATAATAAAAAACTATTTTAAGGTGGCTCCATAGGGTTTTTGCATTATACTACACTTTTCTATCCAGAAAACTCCTGTTTCTTCACTTTACATGACACGAAGACGAAATTTATTGGACACATTGACAATGCTCTCCTGAACATTGCAATTAACTACTTTTGCGCTGAAAATCCGTTACCATGGTGACCAACCTCGTTCCCAGGGCTTTCTCTCTCGTGCCTCGTCTCGTCCTCATAAGAAAGCCCTGGGAATGAGGTTGCATGGTGACAGCGTGCTTTGGATAATTAAGCTCAAATTTTGTCTTTTTCCGGTCGTTTTAAAAATTTTAAAATTTGCACAAAAGATCAGTTCTCGTATAATGATTTTTTCTTCAATTTTAAAAAATGTTATGGAACGTTTCTTAGATTATTCCCTTCAGTAAAATTTTAAGAAAAAAGGATATTGAGCTTGTTTAGCCGATATTAAGAAATGTGCAAAGTTTTAAAACAATTTACCGAAGGAAAATGGGTGGAATTTAGGTTTAATTTTGGCATTTTTTGCTAGATGTGACGTGTAACCCCCACCCCCCAACTGTGAAACTCAGACAAAAATCCGGTAAAATTCCAGTTAAAATTTTGATATTTTCAGGTAAAATTTGCGTGATAAAGAAATTATTTGTGTGAAATGATAACCATATTTGTAAAATATACAGTCAATTTACATCCAATTTGTTTGCGAATTTGCTTTAGAAAACGCCAGAATTGCAGTCCTAGAGCTTCAAAAATGGAACAATTTTCTGGGGGAGGGAAGACCCCCAAACCCCCGTTTTCTCCCGAAACTTAGTATGACAGTGCAAGTCAATCACAAGAAGCTTTATTATAATTATTACACTTTAGGTAAATATTTATTAAAAATTCAAATTTCAGGTAAAATCCTCCGGCAAAAATCCCCCCCCCCCGCGCCCAACTTCAGATGCTTTGCTATGTTCCTGTAGACTGACGTGTACAATAGTCGAAAAACTAAAAAAAATTTCCCGAAGGAATTTTTAAAATGGCCGAAAAAAGACAAATTTTGAGCCTTATCCTAAGCACGCTGTTGCCATGGTAACGAACTTTCAGCACAAAAGTGGCACATTGCAATGTTCAGGAAAGCATTGTGAATGTGTCCAATAAATTTTGTCTTCATGTTATGTAAAGTGAAGAAACAGGCGTTTTCTGGATACTATAGTGCAGTATAATGCAAAAACCTTAGGGAGCCATCTTAAAATAGTTTTTATTATTATTTCATGATTTTTAAACACAGAAATTAATTGTGGTCACTCGTGGTCACTCGTGTTCACACGTGGTCACTCGTGGTCATTCGTGGTCACTCGTGGTCATTCGTGGTCACTCGTGTGTACTTTTAGACAGGATCGATGTAAAGCGCATTTGATCATATCCACATGTAAATTTGCGCTATAGAAATGTTAATCCTAATCCATTAATTGTATGTATAGAAAATCAAGCGCCAACTGACCTAACATTATCTGAGGATGCATGAGTTCGCACTTTTCTTGTTCACCGCCTCCTACACGGCAAAAAAACGCCCAGCCCGCTGCTTAACAGGACTGACATTAGGGCCATTTATACGGAACAAAATAAGACGCGACTTACATAAGACGCCACTTAAGTAAGACGCGAGTTTGTCGTATAAAAGGTACAAAATTCTTACGTAAGACGCGTCTTGGATAAGACGCGTCTTACATAAGAACAGGACTTTTAGCTGTTCTTATTATTTAAGTCGCGTCTTAAATAAGAAATTTTAGACAAAAAGTCTAACTACACATGCCAGAAACTTGAAACAACGTAAAATTATTAGCCTTGCATATTAAAACAAAAACAACCAAAACAAATTTATTTAACATTATAGCTATAGCAAATAAATAAGACCAAAGCCGTAAAGAACCATTTATGCGATAACTCCACTTATTTAGGTCGCGTCTTATGTAAGTCGCGACTTATTTTGTCACGTTTAAATGGCCCTATATGTTTTGCTGCCCACGTTGTTCACACTTCTCAACAATATTGAACAATATTGTTGAGCGTGAATCTGGTGAGGTATGTTAAAATAGGATTTAAACAGCCTATTTTTTTATGAGTTTAAAAATAGTATATTTAAATTATATCTATTTTAATTTATGTGATTTTTTGGACTTGCAAAATATGTTTCAAATACTGTATTTTATTGTTATTTTGCTACCTAAAAAAGAAAGACAGGATTAAAAATAGTATATTTTTATTCCTGTTTGAAATTTGTGCGTTTACCTTGCAAAGTGTAAAATAGGATTTAAACAGTCTTTTTTATTTTATGAATCTAAAAATAGTATATTTTATATCTATTTTAATTTCTAACTGCTTTTTAGTGAAGTAAAATAGAATTTAAATAGGCTATTTTAAACCTATTTTTCTTTGAGATTCTGGAAAATAATATTAAAATATGGGATTTTACTTATAATTATCTACAAAAATAGGAATAAAATAAAGTAAAATATTAATAAAATATATGGCTCTTTGTTTTAGTGAAAAGTTATGATAGAATTAAAATAGGGTAGCCTCTTGATAAAATAATAATAAAATTAGTAATAAAATAGTTTTAAAATAGCAATATAATGTAGTTTATGTTATTTTTGCAAAGGTTGTTCAATATTGTTGACAACTGCATGTACAATGTGGGCAGCAAAGCATTGTTCAATCCTGTTTCCCATCCTTGAATATTTCAACAACCTGAGCGTTTTTACGCGTGTAGTTACAGTAGGTTTCTTTTCCTCGATGGTCCTTCCACTGGCGAATTCTTGCAAATGATTCGTCAGCTTAAATGAAAAAATATCTTCTTCTCTTTTGAAATGTCAACATGGCTTGTTTTCCCGAGCTATCGGAAAGCGATTTGTCATATTTACTGTATAAAAAGGACGGCGAAAACACAAAAAAAAAGGCAACAAAAGTTAAATTGTTTACATGCTTGATTTTATAAAAATCACAATTTTAATTTGTGCAATACAGTATTTTTTCGTTGTGCATGTCAGACTAAATTATACTTTTTCCGTTGACCGTATTAAACTTGTGCCTTATTTCAAGCATTTTTACAAAGTTTGGAAATACTGTAACTATCCGGAAGACAGCGCCAGCTTTCGCGCATTTGACCCATCCTGTCATGGTATATGCGCTAATTATGAAAGTGTACGAATTTAAATGAAAATGTTGTTTCATTTCTGTCAAACCGCCACATGAAATATAGCTATGTGAACGTTTGCAATAATTGATAAATTTTTCAATCTTTTAACTTAATTTCCTTAGTACCTGGAGCAACTAGCGTTTGGCTGATGTGTTTTAATTATTATTAACATATAATTAATTAAATTTGTATATTCAAATACTAACTATCAGTTTGCAAAATTAATTTAGATGTATACGCGGATGTAAAGTTCAAGGATCTTTACTCTGGCAAAATTTTTTACAAAAAGCAATACAGAAAGAATCATATGACTAGACAATTGGTCGTCAATGACGAAAACAGATGGATTAACATGGAAGCTACAACAATTAATTGTCAACTGTATAGGATATATGGCTGGGTAAAACGAGAACAAAGGGCAGCCCATAAAATTAAAGATGGAAATGGAGAAGTCGCTATCAAAAATGAAGATACTGGAGATATATTAAATCTTATAAAAGATACAGACACGCCAACTCCAATCCAAAATGGTTTTTTGGTGAGTGCATTCCGTTACTGTCTAAGTTACGAGTTAGTATTTAGTACATCTTGTATCAGGAACAAACCTGAGGGCTGAGGCTTTCATCATAATCTTAAAAAATTCAATCAATATAGACCATTTGCAGAAATATACTGGAGCGTATAACATTATTCATGCATGCCTCGATTTCATTCTTAAAACTGAAACATTTGTTCGCTTCTTTCTCCCCACTTGAAGCCTATAATTATGTAGTGTCGTACCACTTACTACTATTCAAAACCTAAATAACATTCATTTCGTTTAGAATTACGTCACTTTTTCAACAGTTCAATAACCGAGGACGTAGTTCACAATCAGTGCGGTATCAACGTACTGTGCGTGCATGACCTCGCTATATTGATGATAAAATTTGAATAAAGTCAATCCGGAGGAAGTCGCATTCACGACCCAACTTTCCAATACTCGGGTCGGGAATGTATTTTCTCAAATTGCATTTCATTTATTTGAACCAGAGTAGCGATCACTGCGAAACATGTCATAATAATTATAAAGTTCGTTTTCACTCGTTGCAAAAACCAACTCGCAAGCTTGCTGCGAGTATTTTCATCCAATCAAAATGCTCGACAGTTTATTAGATGGAAGCACTCCCAACGAGCTTGCAAGTTGGTTTTGAGATGAGTGGAAAACAGCCTTAAAAACTGGTTCCCTGAACTCACAAACTTTAGATCCTAGTTGCCTCCTCTCCCACTTACCCCTATAGATAAGTTATAATTATGTATATATACAATAATGAAAAATACTAAACGAACTTTTCTTTCTCATAGCAACCTTTTTCAGTGGATTTGCATGAAATTTATAACGGAAATGTTGGTAAACCAGTTTTTCAATTGTCCAAGTCGGACAAAGAGCGGAAACTGAACATATTTCAGTTAGTTATACAACTGGAATTTATTGATGGTTCGTTAAGCCAAAAATTTACCAGTCCAGCATTCAACTTGCGTACACTCGAGACAGAACCAGGTAATCGTTATTTCTAATCAAGTATTGCAATCTTTAGCGTACGCAGTACATGTGTCTAATGCTGAAATGTAGTTTTTGTAGTGGTTTCATTTTTTGCAGTGGAATATTAATATTATTTCGCTGCAGCAAATGTGGCCTGCGTAGCAGGCGCGCGTTTAGTGCCGGCGGGATAAGAGACGGCGTCGTCGAGGAAACGCCTGCCCGAATGGCTATGACTATTATGTGTTTTCGCCTGTTAAGGGTGATTAACGTTTTGTAATTAGCGCCGTCGCCGGTTTACCCATTATCCAGTTATAGTCGAGAGTTATATTCAGCATCATGCATCTTTTTGTTCGGCAACTAGGGAGATTTTATGCTATTTTAGACAACACAGAGCCATTTTATCTTTTAAAAGGCTTCTGATCACCGTTGTTTAACGTATTTTGCCGTAGCAAATAACAGTATATTATGTCAAAGAGCATATGTCTTGAAATGTTGTTCTTAAAATCATCGTCCAACTTCATATCTGCAATGCCAAGTGATGTAGCCTCAGCTATCTGGTCTTGAATTATACTTTTAGGAGGACAAATAGCAAGACAAATATAAGAAATATTCGATCCCTGCTCGTGCTGGCTAGATGGCAAGCTTTGATTTGGCGACTGATGTTTAATTGAAAGATCAAACTGTTTCCGTATCCCGTAGCGTAGGAAGAATCGCGATAACGTCTTCACCACGTAGCACATTAATAATAGACTTTCTCTGTTCTGGTTTCAACTGAATTTCGAAACCTAAAAGACTTGAAATTATATTATATTTTTTATGAGAATATATTCGCGGGCAAAAATATTTTTGAGATTAGCAGGCGTGCAGGCCCACAGATGGAAGAATAGTGGGCCTGCAAGGGAGACCGGGTGTTTTGCAAAACGCCCCTTTTGACAACACGGCCCATTCGAGGGCCTCTTTTAAGGATGTGTAACTGGAGGGGACATATATTTAGCGGGGGACCTCGAGAAGTTCCTGTCGCGGCAAGTCTGTATCACTGCAGGTACCAGCGTATATATGCATGGTTTAACTAATAGGTATACGTCATAGGACAACAGATCAGGCCGTAACTAGGATTCTGAGACAACCGAGTCGACCACCGAAGGTGGGAGCATCTACAGGGATCTGGGGGCACGCCCCCCCCCCCCGAAAATTTTGGAACTCTTGAAGCTCAGATAAGCTATTTCCAGCATTTTGAAGAGTTTTTCAACAAAAATTAACCTTATAAACAGTGATACAATTACTGCAATTTCACAGTTTCCCAAATGTAATGAATGGTGTGATGATGCGGTAATGAAAATGTGCCTGGTATAGTATTATCATTCACCACACTTCAAATTCTACAGTACTCTATTACATGTATTGGGGTACTTGAAATCGACGCATTTGTCTTCTCAGTGTCACTGAAGAGCAAGATAGGGTAGTCTCTTTGGAGTATCTTTACTTGGAAAAACTAAACATCGTCCTAAAATGCCATTTCATGCCTTGTTCCAGGAGGAAATTATTTCAGTCATGGTTTACGTTTCTGACGATGTTTAAATTTCAGTCCCCAAATTCTGGCCTACCTAGTCAACGGACTCGGTTGACTCATACAGTAGCTACAGTAGTTACGGGCCTGCTGATGATGGTCAAATTCAGAAATGTTAACAATTTAACATCATTTTCTCACTTTGATACGTAATTCCTGGTTGACCACCTACTGCAACTACCTCTTAGGGACCTCACTGGGGGCAAATTGCCGACTGGAGACATGCCCCCCCCCCCCGCCCACAGTCTATATGTTAAAAGAGGCCCTGCTCCACTCACGCGTCAATTGTCAAAAAAGAACAAATGAACAGCAACCCAAATGGTAAACAAACTCGCATTAAAATGTTGCGGGGTTTTCTCTGCGTATTCAGAATAGGAACAATGTGTAAAGGACTACGTTTAACTCCGAAAAAGCAAGCAAACCAGCCACCTTCATGATCAAATAATTATCGAATTTGCAAGTGCTCATCTTCAATTAAATTCGGAACCGGCAAATTAGGACGACTTTCAACAGAAAACCTGTCTCAAACTTCAAATCGTGAGGCCCGAAGTCGTGCGACTACATTAATAGCATTTTTAAATTTGTGCTTCTATCACCATTGTTATAAATAAATTGTCTCACCTATCAGATCGTTATTGCAATTCGTGTGGGCGGAAAGTACGAAATTTATTTCATTTATTTAATTCGGTCAGTAAAGAACTCGACATGAGAAGAGAGCATAACCCCGTATTTTAGCAGGTTTTTGGAAAAAACGTCAATGAAGACGTGATCGTTTATGATAGAATTTTACTCTAAGGCAAAGTGACTACAAGTTGTTCTCTTGAGCATTATAGTACGCTATTACGGTAGTTGTTCCTGCAAATTGCTACGTTATTTCCATCGTGTTCACGCGGCTTATATAACCATGCATGGCAACATTTAAAACGTTCGTGGGATGGTTTATATAGAATTCACTAACTATTGCTACACTTTAATTAAGGGTTGTTTGTAAAGAAAGATAAGTTCTTTCAAGATGCAAATAAAGATTAGTTGAATGCATGTTTTGGCTCACAAAAGTATAAGTAATTTTCGTATCTGCCATTCCATATTCTCTAATCCCTATTGTAAGAATCAGAGCATTCAGAGAAAACTAATCAGTCTCTGCATGCATGCAACAACCTGTCTAATATACAGCAGCTACTTACTCTGTTTGACTGTTTCCAAGTGGTTAATAAATTAAATGTACACTTACTCATGGCAATCATACAACTGATGAACTTTTTTTTGTTATTTAGTTGCGAAAAAACGACGCTTGCCAGGTGACCATGAAAGTGCAACAGGTATAGCCTAATGGCCATTTTAATTTTTTTACATACATTTTTTTACATGGCTGACGTTGAACGCCAAAGTATATATATACTTTTAAAGACAACTTTATGGAGAAGTTATTTCACATTGAAAGGAATTTCGAAAATCTAGAAAAGGTTCCTGGCACAATAGTAATTGTTTTGTTTTGTGGATGATAATAATATGTACAAGCAAATATTCTTGGACTACGAGTGACAATATTTCCAGTGCAGCTAAACTAGAAATACATGCATGCAACAACCCCTCGCCTATATTTTCCAAACATTGTTTCCAATCAACATGAAGTATTGGTAAATACGCCAACACTGAACGCAGGCTCGCATTGGTCACGCTATTTTAGCCATGGTACGCCACCCTCCATAAATCCTTTGTCTCACCTTCATCCCCTAGCCAACGGTAAGGAGCGCCGTTCCGGGCGTAAGCGCGGAACGAGGATACTAATTCCGCCCGGCTATTTACCCCGAAGAAAGGACAGCAATAACGAATTAGTCTAAAGTTCATCAATGATTGCGGGCGTGGATTACCGTGTGTGGTTGGGTGAGTGGTCATCACTGATCTCATAACATAGCGGACTGTCATCAATAGCGAACACTTATTGGTCCAACTTAAGATTTGCATTATAACAACTGCTTGACAACAGCGAAATAGAAAACATTTCTTGATTTGACGATTTCTTGCAAATATACAGTATTTCAATTTTGCAAGACTTTGTAAATTTCAAAAGCTTTTTGAGGAAACAAAAGGCGAAAGAATTCCTAAAATTAAAGAAGGGAGTAAAGACGCCGACGTTAACGAAAGTGAGTTTGTTTTAAATATTGATGTATTGTTCCCTTTATAATTGCTTTAAAAGCTAATCATTGTGTATTTTAAATGAAAAAAGACAGCATATTATTTCAATGTATCTGTATAGGCAAAGTTATTTGAATGCGAGAATTTGAATTATAATTATGACGTAGGCCTGTAATAACATACCCAACATTATATGTTTGGGAAATTGATGTTGTAATTAAAAGTGATATTTTTAGAGGATAAGATTTTTCATTTGTAAAAATATGCTAAACAAAATTATCGTGTTACCAAAACAACTATAAATACATGTTCGGCAAATACAATTAGCTTTGCGAAGGGTTTCTTCATGCAAGTATTTTCTAGCTAAATATTATTCACCGAGATTGCACATTTCACCTAAGCTATCCCTATATATGTTGAACAATTATTTATTTCTGGGGCTGGTTGTATAAAACTCTTAATCACTTTTTTAATCACTATTTTGTAGTTAAATAGTGATTAACTCTCAAATACGCGCTTCTTATTGGATGACATTTCCACTAATTATAGTTAACTTTAATCACTTTTTTATACAACCGGCCCCAGTTCTTTAATTAACGGATTGTTTACTTAACAGAAGATAAATAAGCATGTTATCGCTCCCTAACATAATTCTTTTACCATCGGTAAAAATTCATATTGATTTTTAAGGTTCTCCTAGTGGATCCGGAGGATCTGAGGACAGTGGAACGTTTGAAGATGGTAAGTACTAAGAGGAGAATCTTTTGTATGTATGATATGTAACACGAACTCAAACATGGGCGTACCGGAAGGAAAAAATTAGGGGGGCATGAAATTTGCCCGACTTTTGGGCATTCTGCCCGACTAGTAGCGAAAAATTTTTTCCGGAAAAATTATTTTTGCGACGACACCCCCCCCCCCCCCGTCGCCAATTTTCGGTCAGTGTACCATTTTAGGGGTCAAAAAAATTTCCGGACATACCAAAATTGTTCGGAACATCACACACATTTTCCAAACAACACAATATTGACCACAAAATTGACTGAATTTCCGACAAAATTGACAGAATTTGTCCCATTTATTTTTTAATAAACCAAAATTGCCCGACTGTTGTTCGAATATTGCTCGACTGCCCAACAAACTGGGGGGCCTACCGCCCCGCCCGGTACGCCTATGCACTCAAAACTAATGCATGCATACTTTTCCACTTTGTTATGACTATATTCATTTTTTAAAATTTTTGGTACGTTTCTCAAGCGACAAACAAGGTTAAAAAGTATGTTTAGTGCTTTATCTGTAAAATTATGTTAAAATGAAGAGATTTTTAATGGTATGCCAAAGAGAAAATGATATCTGAAGCAGTGACCTGTTTGGAACGATAACATGCGGGCGGGGAAAAGCGAAGCCAATGCCAACGCCACAGCTTAAGCCAACTTAATACGCCATACTTAAATTGGTAACTATCGGACGGCAATCTTTTTAATCGCCGCACGGTGACGGCGTACAACGGGACTGAAACTGACATACTGTACTACATGTATATGGCGCGGCAATGAACCGCGCGTGGTGATGGCGTATAAGGAGACTGAAACTGACGTACTACATGACGTGAAAATGGCGTGGAGGGCTAGCTGACGCCACTGCTCACACGTTGCTCATGGGAGGCGTCACTTTTTTACTGCGAAATGACTGAATGTTATCGTCCCTAGTAAATAGATTGAGTTCGTTGCAGGTCTAAAGTTTAGTAAGTTTGGATTATATTGCTGTATAAATATGGCGTCAATTTTACAACATTAATGATAATTGGATTTAAATTTACAATATTCAAGATCATTCAACTATTATTTTATGTTTCTCAACCACCAGATATATTTAAAAAGTTTGCTAACTAATATGTAAAAATAAAGCTAAAACAAAGTAATTTTGAGGGGGACGTCAAAAATATTTTAGGTTTTAAATACTTTTCGTTGCAAATACACGACATTGAAAAATTGCCACTTAATAAAAACAATTTTGCAGATAATTTTAGTTGAATTGCTGCACAGCGTTGTTTAAGATTGTCGGTTGGTGTTCGTTGTGTTGTTTGAGGTTGCACTGTGTTATTTTGTGTTTCAGTGTGTTGTTTCGACTAGCCATGCACTTAGTGTATCAAGATATCATGCTCTGGAAACTTAGGAATCACTGTATTATATTTTTGTTTGAGTTTATGTTAATTTATGCACGGTCACAGTGATTGAGTTTATTGTATTTTCGTATAACGAAGTAGTTGTCCAATAGGGAAAGCTGAGGTGAAATATGCAACCACGATGAATAATATTTAGTGAAGTTTGCGACAAAGAATTTGTGCACGGTGAGATACTCTTCAACCTCAAGTGTACCGGGCTTCCAGACAATCATACCTTGACAGATTATTGAGTAGCGCTATGTTGATTATGCTGCTACGTGTTGTTTCAGTTTGCTTTGTGAAATGTATTGAGTTCTTTTGCACTGTTGATTGATTGATTGATTGATTGATTGATTGATTGATTGATTTGACTTTATTTAAAGAGGGTAAACACTTGACAGTATCCGCGAAGACACTGATAACCTAGTGGCCCTCTAAATTAGCTAGATACAATATACAAAGGTTAAAAATATTATAAAGTACTATATAGTTACACAAAATTAATAGAAGCCTTATTATATTACATAGTTATGTTAGACTAGAATTTTGTTACGTTAAAAGGAGCTAGAAAGTTTTTGCTCCTCTAAGATTGAGTTAAAAAGTTTCGTTTTGAAACACTTAGCATGGACGCTTTGTTTCATTGTTGGAGGTAATAAAAGCATTCCAATCCTTTATTGTTCTTACACTAGACGTCCTCCCACCTTCAGTGGTCCTATTGAAGTTTGGGCAGACGGAATTTAAATGAGACTATCTCGTATTTAATGAATGCACTTCTGAATTTGTTTTTAATAGGGAGTTTATATAGTTTGGAGTAAGACCGTTCAGGCGTTTGTAAGCCAGAGTACATCGATTTAGATATGCTTCAGTATAGAAAAGCACCCATTCCAATGTGTTAAATGTTGTAACTGATGGAGCCCTCCTTTTCGCCTCGAGAATGATGCTATTCCGGTTTTCGTTACGTAGCGTTGTCTTATTTTGCTTTGCGTTGTCTTGCGCTGCGCTACGTTCCTTCTTGTTACACTGCGTTGTATAATGTTGCATTTTTTTACGTGTGGCTGTTTTGTTCATCGCCCTGCGATTGGATTGCACTGTGTTGTTTTGGGTTGCACTGTGTTGTATAGGTTTGTTTTAGGGTTGTTTGGGGTTGCAGGTCCCCGATTTATGTTGCGCTACATTATTTTGATTTGTGCTTCGTTATTTGAGTTACCGGTACGCTGCGTAGTTTCGAGTTGTACGGCACTGTTTGATGTTGTCACCAGTGGCGCCGTGGCCGGGTGGGGGGCATGGCCCACCCTATTGTTGAGACCCATCGGAAAATTGTCAATGTTGTCGGAATCTTCGATCGTGGTGAAGCATATAGGAAATCGGGTAAAGTGCTACGAAAGCAATTGTAATGTTATTGTCCGGAAAATTTATTTTACCAACAAAGTTGTCGACGGAAGGGGGCACATTTAAAATGTTGTTGTCCGGAAAATATTTCTGTCGGAAAAGTACTGTCCTTGCCCCAACCCCGCCGCAAAGTTTTTTTTTCGTAGACAGTCGGACTCCTCATTGATTTCTCCACGCGTTTTGTTCTGGGCTGTGTACGTGTTATTTCCTGTAGTTCATCAATATTGATATATTGAATATATGTTGCAGAAAGACAGCAAAAGATTCTGGTTGACTTGCTGGACGCCAAAACAGCAATGGTTGATAAAGTAGTAGTTAAAGATCTAGAGGTTCAGGGGACATGTAGTATCAACACTACACGAGCTGACCTGGCATACCACCTAACATTGAAAGAACCTGAGAAATATGGTGATCTTGAAGAAGGTGACATTGTCGGCTTCTATAAAGACGACGAATCTGGGGAGACCTATATTCAGCGCCTGCGCAGTAATAACATTGATCATGCATTGCATGCTGGTGTTGTAAGCCGTTCTCATTGGCTGGCTGGACACAAACCTCTTAATCCAGGTACGATTATTTGAAACGCTTGTTACTAAAATGGGGTTTGTGCTAGCCTGCATAGCAGGCGTTTAGTGCGAGCGGGAGAAAGGGGGGCGTCGCTTGAGAAAACGCCTGCCCAATTGGCTATAGCAAATTTGTTTTTGACCGAAAAAGCTTTGAATAAGTTTTCCATTGGTCAATCTCGTTAACGGAAGTAATTACGTAACTCAAAGGTCAACAATAATTTGCTCGCGTATCGAATAGCAGTTAGCCGTATAATTATTTCTCCGATAAAAAATATGTCTGTTAATGCTTTGGAGGAAACTCTTTCTTATATTTCAAGTATTTAGGCTTTAAAATTCAGTTGAAACCAGAACAGAGAAAGTCTATTATTAATTTGCTACGTGGTGAAGACGCCGGTTATCGCGATTCTTCCTACGGGATAGGGAAAAGTTTGATCTTTCAATTATACAATCAATGCTTGCTGCATGCTATTTTAATAGCTCTGATGCCAGCACGAGCAGGTATCGAATATCTCTTATAGTTGTCTTGTTATTTGTCCACAATACAGTATAATTCAAAACCAGATAGTTGAGGCTACATCACTTGGCATTTGAGCTATGAAGTTGGATGGTGATTTTATAATATTTCAAAACATGCTCAATTGCTATTTGTAATAAGGCAGAATACGTTAAACAACCGTTGTTCAGGAGATGGAAGATAGAATCTCTGCGTTGTGACTGTTGTCCAAAATAGCTTCAAAAACTCATGAACAATTCATAAGGAAAACAAAAACAAAATTTTTTGAAAGCTACTTCGCCAATGAACTTACTAGATCGATCGTTTTTGAAGCAATTTAAAACATTCGCAGTGCGTGTTTTATCAGACCATCTTTATATCTGATAAAACACTGCTGCTCATGTTTTAAATAGTACATGAAATATCTGCAAATCCCTAGCAACCTCGTTTCCAGGCTCTTCCCTCTTGTGGAGGAAAAATCCTGGTCGGAGCTGGTCACGTGACCCATAGAAAATTGATAGCCTAAGAGGGGGGAGTATCAAATTACATGTTTCCACTTCCGCACTTCACATTTCCATTGCAAGGAGTGACCATTCTGTTACAATCATCTTTGAGAATCAAATATACTTCAAAATGCTTGCTAAATTTGGTTTCTGTTTGCTTTTAAATTAGACAAACATGCTAAAATGCAGATTCTTATAGCAACAGACAAGTCAGGAAATCAAGCAACGAAAACCTATGACCGTATTTGCCCTTTTATTTTCTCGGGGTTATTATTTATTCAAGTAAAGCCCTTAATGGGAAATGCCAATGCCAATGAAAGGTCTTTATATGATTTATAATTACCTGCTGTAAATTACCGTAATACACGAAATATGAAATAATTTACTATAAAGTAGAATACCAGTGTTTGGTGCATATATCGTCCTTAAATATTCAATTAAGTTGTACCGTCGTGTACGTGATAACAGATAGCTATATACTTTGACATAATCTTTCTTGATCGTTAAGTTTCAGTAGTGTAAATGAAAGGAATTTTATAGTCCATAACGGGTTTTAATCCTGTGCTTTTACAGTCAAAATAGCACGATTGTTTACACACAGTTGGCGATGTTTGGGAAATCAAAGGATCCCGTTATAAAATAAATCCTTTGTTTTGAATATCGGACAAGATACACAACTATAAACAACCGTATCGTTCGTTTATACCCTTTGATCGCACAGTCGGTGTGGAAGATATTGATTTTTTACGGCGATACGCGTGCCAAACTTTGCAAGTCAGGCGACAGGCGCGTTATAGAGTGTTTTCCTTGGAAGTGAAACATGAACCGCCGACTAAAATCTGATGTCTGGTTGCGAGCTTCTCGCTTGAAATGAAACGTAACACTTATTATTGGTGACATTCAGTATATAGCAGGAAGTCTTGTCATGATCGGTATGAATTTAGAACACTTCCTTTCGCAATCTCTTGTTGGAAATTACATTTTTATCACCCGAAATTATAGCACATAAAGTTGCAATTTTCCAAACGCAACAAACAGACTCCTCTACTACCCCTCCCTAAGATCAAATTCAATTTACCCCCAAAATCTGGGGGTTCATGTGACCAGCTCCGACCAGGGTTTTTCCATCACAAGATCGAAGAGCCTAGGAACAAGGTTGCCCTACTAGTTGCCGAGCAAAAAGTATGTATGATGCTAAATATAAATATCGACTTTGATTGGATAATGGGTGAAGGTGCTAATTACAAAACGTCAATCATCCTTAATGGGCGAAAACAAATTTGTCATAGCCATTTTGGTAGACGTTTCCCCAATAGATGCCCTCACTTCTCCCGCCCGCACTAAACGCCTGCTAGGCAGGCAAGGTTTGTGCATAAACTTGTGGCCATAGGTATCTTATATACACTAGATAGTGCATCTAATTATTCAGCAATTCAAAAATTGAAGCCGTGATTGCAGTCTCAGGTCGTTCCCATGAAATGAGAAGATTCGCATATTTTCTATTTCTTAAACAGGGAACTTAAACATTAAGTTAACCCTATTCCAAATACGTTTTTAAACTATTCAAATAATGAAAGTTATTGTTGTTTTTAAGCATTTATTAGCAAGTGGGAACGACCAACATGGCCGCCATCTATTCAAATGGGGGTAACCGCTCTAATATTCTTGGCTTCAATTTTACTAAATGAGAAGCGCTATCTAGTGTATATAAGATATCTATGCTTGTGGCATTACAATGGCATTCGGTGATCGGAATGTTCCGCTATCTTATCATTGTTTTTAAGGAGGCTCCCTACAGTTATTTTTGTTTACCCAATAATTCCGTAAAACAGGCTTATTCGTGCAGAACGCAAATTCTTTTCGACTTGGTGGCAATATCTTATTTATCGGTTACCTAAGGAATATTCAGAACTAGATTTCGACAACGTCAGTGTTCCCAGGCAACATGGCGAAAGCATAAAGCCCTCCAATTTAACCTATAAATGTGCCGCGATCTAAAAAACGATGTCGGTCACCTATCTAAAGTTGAGATTTACTTCTATTGAGCCCAATGCACCGCCAAATAACTGCAATAAGTACCTCCTTTAGTAACCCATCCATTCTTGAAGAAAGAAATCTATAAATTCCCCTATTCTTAGCTCCTCTATCAATCTCAACAAGCTAATTCGTCTCAAACTTGCCGACATTGAGATCGCCCTTTCGAAAGGCCTAGCAATAGAGGATATGGTTATTGAACATGTAATGACACATTGTTTGAATTTGAATAATACTCTTCAGCTACCAAGACTGACACAATCTGCGTTATTGGTATCGTCAACGTCAAAGTTGTTGGCAGTATTGAGAATGGAGAACGTATTTACGCCTCTACAGATACTCCTGGCAAAGCGATACCGCAGTCACATATGCCCGTGGGCTCTTTCCTGCGTAAGAAACATGTATTGCTTGGTATGGCTTTGGAAACGAAGAAATCCAAGACACTTGACGATGTACATTTAGTAAAATGTTTTGTGTGCATAGTACTTGATGTAAGCAGAAAGGAACTGCTAGAAGAGATCGAAGATCTTTACCAAGTTAATGAGGAAAGAACAGCGCAACAGATTAAAATTGCCAACAAAAAGACGTGGAGAAGTAAGTTATTGTTCATCAGTTCAGTACAGTGAAACGAATATAACTGGAACGTTACCTTTAGATAAACTGCCTATCTTGAAGCCAAATCTAACCATAATGCCTTGCAATTTTCTCGCGAGACCAGTTCAAGGAGCGAGCATGCCGGTTTAATAAGAAAAAACTAAAAGTAAAACATACTAGAAAGCTTACCTGAATAAATGCATGCATTAGTGAACCGTTTTGAGCGCTATTAAAAAGCTGTTTTTAATTTAAAGTCAATTTGTTGAATACATATTTATGTTGACGGATTGACCGTACTCTTTGTTTGCGTGAAAAGACTGGGACTCATGGCCTTTTATGTTTGGCTTAAAATTTCGGTTGCAGGTAGCGTTCCAGTTATAAACTATATTCATTTCACTTGTTCAGTAGGTTAATTCATGTTTTTGCCTCACCTGACAAACAACTTTGCTTACAACGTCAAAATGGACCATTTGCATTATAGACTAAATTCTGATCTAGACAAAAATTTCATCACAGCTTGAAAGAGCATCACAAAATTAGTAATATTCCAAAGTTTCGTTGCGAAATGTTGTAAAATGCGGATAATATAGCCTTGCGAAGTTTGCCGTTTTTCAGTCATTTTGTATTACGCACGGGAAATTGACAGTCCAATCGGGTGTTGGGGCATCAATTTCCCGTTTGTAATACAAAATGACTGAAAATTGCAAATTTCGCAAGGCTATAGACCTTATTCATAAATCGTGACGAGGCCTCGTATCCTAGGATACGGGAACAAAACTCGGGAAAACAAGCGAAAACTGCTTGACAAGCCAAATTCAGATGCTATTGTGTGGAGTTCAACGGCTTTGTTTCTTGTTGCTTTTTGCGATTTATAACGATTTTTGTGTGTATATTAAGACTTTGTGCCTACAACGAAAGCAGTAAACGAATATATTATAAAAGCGATCGGTTTTTCTCCCGTTTTTGTGTGGAAAAAATGCCAACGTAGCGATGGTGTTTATCCAGAAGCGAAAAACAGTATTTTACTGAGATTTTAACGTCAATATAAAGGTTATTCCGTGAAAAATCAAGACAACTATGGAATGAAAGTATAATTTTTCAAATTTGACAGTATTATGAAAGAAAACAACAGGTCAAAAATCACAGAGAACGTCAAATGCTATTGATTCGTACGGAAAAAATATGAACTATGGCCGTGGCTCGATAACATTCTGCAAGCAGCTTACAAGTTTAAAAAATGAAGGCTACATTACCTGAGTGAGTTGTAATCCTGTTTCGTCAACAATAGTTTCATATTTCTTACGATTTTGGTGTTGTATAGACGTTTCGTAGCCTTGTTGGTTGTTTGTTTGTGCCATACAAACTTGACAATAATACAAAGTCAAAGGTTTCCTTTTTCGATTGACTCCAGCATCTTTTGCTTTAAATATCTTGTTATATTTTCTCAGAAGTATTTTTTTTAACTTTCAAGCTCAGTTTTATAGATATTATTTTCGAAAAAAGCCGTAATATTCACGAAAAAAGCCGCCATAGCCGACAGCAAAAAAAGCATTTTGTCAATTTTCCCGCGTTTTCCCCCGTTTCCTAGGATACGAGGCCTCATCACGATTTATGAATAAGGTCTATATTATCCGCATTTTACAACATTTCGCAACGAAACTTTGGAATATTACTAATTTTGTGATGCTCTTTCAGGCTGTGATGAAATTTTTGTCTAGATCAAAATTTAGTCTATAATGCAAATGGTCCATTGACTGACGCCTGTAAGTATTAACGGTTTTTAATAAACTATCAAAGGATAGCTTAGTACAAACCGTTATTAGTTACCGGCGTATATTAGTTACTAGCGTACCTTTTTCATTATCGAAAGCAATGCAAAGTTAATAGGCAATTCCCATTGTAGACTAATTTTTAGACTAAGCAAGGAGATGCAAATAAATCACAACAGCTAGAAAGAACATATTAAAATTAGTAAAAATGCAAAGTTTGGTTGCGGAATGTTGTAAAATGAGGAAAATATAGCCTTGCAAGTTTTCAAATTTTGTATACCTTTGTATTGAGTGCGGAAATTGCTACCATTTTCGGCCCAAATGTGGTAGGAATTTCCGCACGCAATACAAAAGTATATTAAAAGATACATGCATGCCGAAACCCCTCGCCTTGCTGACAAAACCATTGTATTTTCCGAACATGAAGTATTTAAAGTAGTTGTCATGGTAACACGATAATTTAAGAATACTTTTCCAAAATGAAAAATTTCCTAAAAATATGACTTTTAATTACAAAATTTTCAATTCCCCAAACACATATATGTTAGATATGTTATTATACGTAATATATGCTTCGATTTAAGGTAAAATTCAACCACAAACGCTTCGAAAAATGATTTAAAATGTTCTTTATAAAACTAACCTGCCTTTGTTTGAAACGATAAACTTACTTTCGTCAACGTCGGCGCCTGCAATTCTTTCTCCTTTATTTTATCAAAAAGCTTTTGAAATTTACAAAATCTTGCAAAAATGAAATATGCTTGTGTGATGTTACTCTGAGTGGATATCCACACCGGGCAGGCTTGAAAAATATACCTGGCCACGGTGTGATTCGAACTACGACCTTTGGAATACTGCCCAATGCTCGGCCAACTGAGCTACGCGGTCAGGTCGGTTCGAGTATGCGATATTTCGGAACTGAGTCTAGTTCCTTCAATATCAGTGTAATCTAATAATCACGAAATTTGCTGTATTGGTGATATCGAAAGAACTAGACTCAGAAACATCGCATACTCGAACCGACCTGACCGCGTAGCTCAGTTGGCAGAGCATTGGGCTAGTATTCCAACGGTCGTGGGTTCGAATCCCACCGTGGCCAGGCATATTTTTCAAGCCTGTCCGGTGTGGATATACACTCAGAGTAACATCACACAAGCATCTTATTCACCTGAGTACGTTACACCAACACAGCAAATTTCAAAAATGAAATATATTTGCAAGAAATCATCAAATCAAGAAATGTTTGCTATTTCGCTGTAGTCATGCAGTCGTTATAATGCAAATTTTAAACTAGACCAATCAGTGTTCGCTAATCGCTATTCATGACAGTCCGCCATATTTTTGAGATCAGTGAGAATGACCACACACGCCTGTGATCATTGATGAACTTCAGACTTCGGTAATGCTTTCGTTTTCCCGGGTGTAAATAGTCGGGCGGAATTAGTACCCTCGCACGGCGCTCCACGCTGTTGGCCCGGGGAAAAATTGGCAAACTGGGCAAGGCTATATTTTCTGCATTTTACATTTCTTTGTAATTGTACTAATTTTAGTATGCTCTTTCTAGCTAGTGATTTATTTGCATCTCCTTGCCTAGTTTTAAAATTAATCTATAATAGGAATTGTTATACAGAGAAAATTATGATTTTTTCTGACAGGAAATTAGATAGGTAAGTAAAGATATGATAAATACATTTTGGACGAGAACCGAAAATTTCCTATGTTGACAGGTTGGTTGGTTAGTGAGTTGGTTGGTTAGTTTAGGAATATCAATTGGAAACGAAATGTTGAGCAACATTATCATACAGGAAATCATTATTTGCCAAAATGTCGAAGTAATATGAGAGAATGAGAATGATTGTCGAAAGGACTAAAGAACAAGGAATAATGATGCTTGTGATGTTACTTTGAGTGTGTATCCACACCGGGCAAGCTTGAAAAATATGCCTGACCACGGTGGGAATCGAACCTACGACCTTTGGAATACTAGCCCAATGCTCTGCCAACTGAGCTACGCGGTCTGGTTGGTTCGAGTATGTGATATTTTAGAACAGAATCTAGTTCCTTCGATATCAATGTAATCTGATAATCATGATTTTTTTTCTGTGTTGGTGTAGTGTACTCAGGTGAATATACTCAGGTGAATATACTCAGTGTACTCAGGTGAATATACTCAGTGACTCGAACCGACCAGACCGCGTAGCTCAGTTGGCAGAGCATTGGGCTAGCATTCCAAAAGTCGCAGGTTCGATTCCCACCGTGGTCAGGCATATTTTTCAAGCTTGCTCGGTGTGGATATACACTCAGTGTAACATTACAAGCATCATATTCACCTGAGTAACCTACAACAACACAGAAAAAATCATAAACAAGGAATAGCTGAAAAAATTTACAAAAGCACGCGACGAATGATAAATAATTTGGCAATTTTTAACTATTGAGACAAAATTATTCCTCATCCAGATTCAGTTTCACGCTTGAATATTTACTTGTTTAGCTCATTTAGTTCGTCAGTTGGTTGATAGGTTGATAAGTTTGTTGATAGGCTAAGACTAAGGAAACCAGTCCGTCTTTAAATTTCTGTCCCAATTAGTAGAGTTAATTAGGAGGCAGTCCTTTTTAGCGTACCTATATTCTGTAGTTTATACAGTTAGCTACCTTTTTAAATTCATTTGCCGGTTGGGAAACATAAAATAATAGAAAAAAATTGTCAATTAAAATACAATTATCAACGATGCTTTTTATAACTTGCCCTTACCTCTTGTGGAGGAAAGACACTAGTAGGAGCTGGTCTCGTGATTTGCTAAAGTCAAGTAAATTTTCCATTGATGATGTTGATAAATATTTGGTATTTATACTTTAGTTTATAACTTGCATTTTGTTTTGCAACTTTGATTTGATTTTAAAGGAATCCAAGACAGTCTCCACAAGAGATAAGAGCCTGGAACGATGTTGGTGTCACTCAACATACAAAAAACTCCTTTTAATTACCTAAGTGTACCGTGATTCGTATTAAGATTAATGTATTTTTGTTTTAGGGCTAAAAGGTTGCGCCTTATCAACGCTCATTATTGTTGGAGTTATCATATTCATGTTGTATCAATGGTTAGTTCCTGGATCAATGTTTCGGTATTGGCTTTGTCGTCGGGGATCTATCCCGGATCATCATTTGTATTATAGCTATCGTGATGAGAGCAATAATAGGGTAGGTAAAAAAGTTTAGTATCGACTTTAATTTGTTGCTGTTAAGCTGGAAAATGGAAATACGGATACGATCATTTTCGTTTTAACATTTTTATGATTATCTTGAAAATCCAAATTATTACTGTCTTGCAATTCCAATTATTTGACAGTCTTGCCATTCGTGTTTACGTCATTGGCAATAATTTAAATAATACTGCATGAGTCAGTGTAACAAAATGAACCTATTGGTTTTGAATCCTTGATGTGTGTATTGATTCGCCTGATATCACTTAACGTTAGATTATCTTGTAATTCGAATTTGGAAAGATTTTGATTTTAAAAATATACCATCAATATGTCCAATTCATGCAAGAAATGCCAAGAATATCGTTTGAATTAGACGCAATACACAGGAAATTTCAAGCAGTTGATTCATGATCAATCCCAAAAGTGTTAATCTGTCACCGTTTTGGTGAGAGAATAACACTGTTAGAGTTGAGTCGACTGATACAGATATTTCACAGCACTCTCCCTATCAGGGCTTTTCAGTGACTGGTTACATTATGAATAGATAGATAGAACCGGACTGACGTGAAGCACACCGAGGTAGACTTTGAGCTTACAAATGGCGCTTGAGCAGCCGCTATTAGTCCATACCTCATTAATGATCTGCCTCCAGACCTATGTGCCTAACCCACCCTGTCAACTTTCCCTGTGGGAGGAAACACGGAGTACCCGGAGAAAACCCACGACTTTCGGCAGAGCGTTGATTTTACTCTTTTCACATGAGGACTGGGTTCGAGTCACATTGAGAAGTTCTCACTGAGATTCGAACCTGCGGTCTTAGGGATGAAAGGCAAGTGCGCTAACCACTTCGCCACCGAAGCCCCATCTAACCACTTCGCCACCGAAGCCCCATCTAACCACTTCGATCGCCACCGAAGCCCCATCCACAGAAGCCCCATCGAAACTTTACAGTGTAGTGTTGAGGTGTTGAAAATAACCACAGGGACCTGGTGGGGTCTCGAAAAGGACGACAAATGAGGAACGTCTGATGGGGACCAGGCCCAGTGACGGATGGATCAAGATTGGGGTGGGGGTAATTTCAATCGCTAATTAATCTTTTTGTTGGCGAGGGGAATGTGTTTCCGGACATACCATTTTTTACAAACTTTCGAATTAACGTACCGTAATTTGTTGCATTTTTCGGTAATATTTTCGTAAATTTAGATTTTTAAGATATTGATTTTCAAAATCCATATTTTTTATCTTTTCCAATGTTTTAATTTTAGGGGCCCGTGATAGCAGGGGCCCACAACAAGTTCTCGTCGGCTCGTCCCTAGCCTGCACGTCCCAGGTTGTCCAGCACAAGCTGGGAGACCGGGTTCAATTCTTGGTCCCACCTCTACTCAAGATCTTAAAATAACTGAGGACAAAGAGCTACCTATATAGTTTACATTGACATCAGTAAATAGTTAGACTTTAATTTTGCGTCCTTTTCGGATAAAGACGTTAATCTTAGGCGCAGGGAGCAGAAGAATCGAGTTTATCTAATAAAGAAAGACAAACACCGTCTTACCTTGTTAATTGTAGTATATTTCGTTGTAGAATCCCAATGTGTACATTAAAAATGCATATTCATTCATCAAAATTATCGAATATGAAACCAAAATATGAATTTCAACATTAATATACTCCGCTGCCTTGAATTACCGTGGACTTGACTCGTATTTTCCGAAAAGCTAACAAACACTGGCCGAGAGAACAAACAATAAGAAACGAAGAAAGGGGGGAAACACTACAGATCTTTCGTTGCATGTGCACCGCAACACCCTATGACGGAAGTGAATAAAACCGGCCATTGACCAATGACGAAGTAGAACTTCATTTGACAGTTGTAATTAGTATTGGAAAAATTTGAATCAATCATGCATCAACGCGAAACAATACGTGGTGTTGCGGTGCACATCGTACGAAAATAATCGATGAATATCGGTCGTCAAATATGTAGGTTAAACGACCGTTTATTAAAATTTATTTCCTAGCGTAGTAAGAATAGATAATTTCTAGATTGTATACAGAAGTTATGTTTTTTATGAAATGTTACACAAGTCGTAGCCATTCTAAAATATGACCCCTGTGACTGTTTCCTCCCATTCTTCGTTTCCTATTGTCTAATAGTCTACGTTTTGCAAAATGTGAGCCCACAATAATCTAGAACAGCGGGTTATATTCATTTGGTGTTCATGTTACATGAATTACGAATAAAAAATCATACAATGTTTATAAAATGCTTGTGTGATATTACTCTGAGTGCATATCCACACCGGGCAGGCTTGAAAAATATGCCTGGCCATGGTGGGATTCGAACCTACGACCTTTTGGAATACTAGCCCAATGCTCTGCCAACTGAGCCACGCGGTCAGGTCGGTTCGAGTATGCGATATTTCGGAAGTGAGTCTAGTTCCTTCGATATCAGTGTAATCTAGTAATCATGATATTTGCTGTGTTGGTGTAGTGTACTCAGGTGAATAAGATGCTTGTGTGATGTTACTTTGAGTGCATATCCACACCGGGCAGGCTTGAAAAATATGCCTGGCCACGGTGGGATTCAAACCTACGACCTTTGGAATACTAGCCCAATGCTCTGCCAACTGAGCCACGCGGTCGAACTCGAAATTCATACTCGAACCGACCTGACCGCGTGGTTCAGTTGGCAGAGCATTGGGCTAGTATTCCAAAGGTCGTAGGTTCGAATCCCACCGTGGCCAGGCATATTTTTCAAGCCTGCCAGGTGTGGATATGCACTCAGAGTAACATCACACAAGCATCTTATTCACCTGAGTACACTACACCAACACAGCAAATATAATGTTTATAAACTTTATATAGTTTCAAGACAATTTCAACGGACTATAAATTGTAAAATATGCATTTTTAATGCATACATGGGGATTCTACAATGAGAGACATGTATAGGTTATCATATAAGGGACGAGGTGAAAATTCAAAAAAATTCAATCATTTACTGAACAAATATGATTTGAGAAAATAAATAGACCATTCATATAAATAATATAGAATTTAAGTCTTTCGTTTTGTATTATCGTTCTTGTGTCCTTCGATAAAACTGTCAACATCAACCAACACGAACCTCGAGTCGGCCATCTTTGTTTTGACAAGTCGCGAAATTTAGCGGGACAAAAAACGATATCCGGGACAAAAAGGATATTCGGGACGATATCGTTTTTATGTCCCACTGCTTCCTGCCTGATAAAAGGTACAAGCATGTGGTAATACAATTAAGAAGGTAAGACGGCGTTTGTATTGTTTTACAAGATAAACTCGACTCCTCTGCTCCCTGTGTCGTAGGTACCTCGGATCCCCTATCAATTAATCGGACAATAGCCTGTGGCACTGTTGGGAAATCCACTCACAATGAGTGACAAAACTCAATAAACAATAATAAACTTAATTATCAATTTTAATTTATCCGCGCAATTTGACATTAGTGAATAAACGACCATTCTAAAGAGCCGAATCCTTCAAAATTCAATTAATAAATTTTTGAAAACAAAAATCTTTGTCGAAATAACTAATTTGAAAATCAATTCTATCTATATAGTCGCCAAAACGAATTATCCTAAACGTCTTTTATACTTTCCATTAGAATTTTCGTGTACATGGAATTGAATTTACCTGGAAAAGACTGCAGGGTAAAGTTGGATTCAACTTCATACGAAATCCGAGAGAAAAAGGTTAGTACTATAATATATTAATAATATGCATAAAGATATTGCTCGACTGTGATTGGTTGATTTCAGTGCAGTTATCCCAAACAGCAGTGCAATTTCTGTAATCACAGTGCGATTTTCTGTAATCACAGTGCAATTTTTTGTAACCACAGTGCAAAAATCTGTGACACACTTATCTGATTGGTGGAAAAACATTGTGATGATTAAATCAACCAATCAGTTTAAAGCAGATTAGTTTAAAGAATTAACGGTCACAGATTCCTTCAAAACAGAACAAACATGGCGCCACGCCACGCCACGCCAGATGAAATGAAAGTTTTCTTCGGTTGAAAAATATAGTAGCTTTATCTTTTTTTTAAATGGAAAAGCGTTTGCCTTAAGCAAGACTAACAAAACTTACATAGTTGAGTGGAATCTTCAAGCTGTTAGCGTTGTATAATGTGATATAACAAAGCCAGGAAAACTTTGCTACTTCGCTATATTAAACGTAAGTTAAAACGGCAATTGTCTCGAACATTTTTATGTAAATTATTAATTAATAAGTAATAGCATGGTTTCTCGTAAAATTTGGATAAACATGCACTCGTGAGTTTTTCAAAGACCTCAAATAGCACTCGTCCTTCGGACTCGCGCTATTTTGAAGTCTTTGAAAAACTCACTCGTGCATGTTATATCCAAATTGCACTCGAAATCATGCTATTACCTATACTAACAAGCAGGGATGCAACTTCCGCGACGTCTCGAGCGAAGGCTCATCGATTGGAGTTACAGTCAACAATTATGCACATCAACAATTATGCACATAAATTTAAATGAAGAGAATATATTACGTTCTATACAGAAGCTGCGATCAAATACAGCATGTGGTCCCGATCGAATCAGGTTTCGGCAAATCTGCTAAAGATAGCGAAAGAGGCCATAGTTCCGTCTTTATTATCCATTTTTAAATCAAGCGTAACAATGTCCATCGTTCCTGACACGTGGACAAAGGCAAGAATATGTGCTATTCATAAGAAAGAGGACGAAACAGAGAGAACTAATTATCGCCCAATTTCATTGTTGTGTTTGCCAGGAAAATTTTTGGAATCAAGTGTATGTTCAAGTATAATAACACATGTATATGAAGAAGGACTAAACAATGAACATCAGTGGGCGTACAAAAAAGGTTCTTCGTCCCAATTATTATTGATAAAAATGACAGAGCATTGGAGACGCGTTTTGGATAATAGAGGAATAGTTGGGGTAGTGTTTGTGGACCTAAAAAAGGCTTTTGACTCTATTTCGCATCCCCTGCTCTTATTTAAACTTCAAGGAATGGGTATCTCCGGGGACACATGCATGGCTTTGGATCAAGGATTATCTTTCAAATAGAAGACAAGTAACAACTGTCAATGGCTACGAGTCTGAGTTAATGGACGTAGAATTTGGAGTACCACAGGGTTCTGTGCTCGAACCCGACCTTTTCGCGTTATTCATTAATGATATGCCAAATATAACAGAAGGAGAAGAAGACGCAGAAATAGAAGTATTTGCGGACGATACAACCATTTATGTCGTAGGACCAACAGTAGACATTGTAACATCGAGATTAAACGAGATCTTACGCAAATTTTGGGATTGTTGTACTAATAATTCACTTTCACCCCATCCAGGAAAAAAACGGAATTCATGTTAATGAAGGGAAAATCATTTATAGGCCATGTGAAGGCAATAAAATTAGGGACTTATAAAATCAAACAAGTACAGTCGACAAGATGCTTAGGGATGGAGTTGGACGACGAAATGAAGTGGTCCAAACATGTCTTGAATACAATAAAATCCTTCTCTTTCAGAAAATCAATCTTCTGAAATCCCTGTATTTCTTGCCAAAGAAAGCTAGGATAGTCGACTTTCACAATAAAGTTATACTCCCGTCGATAACTTATGGCTTATTCTATGGGGATCATGTAACAAGAGTCTGTTCAATGACTTTGAAAAGATGCATTTGCGAGCAGCAAAAATCATTTTCTGCCTGGACTGGAACACACCCACAAATGATGTTATAAAAATTTGCAATTGGAAAACACTTAGACGAATATATTTAGAATCGTTGCCAAAGTTGACCCAAAACGGCCAAAAGAGTTATTATCAAGTCGTTCCTACGGCTATAGCTGATCTCTTTGTAAAACGCTTCTGTGGGTATAATTTAAGAGAAAGAAATTGTTCGTCTTTACCGAAAGCAAGGACAGAAATTATGAAAAAGTCTATTAGCTATAAAGGACAAATTTTATGGAACAATTTGAACAATGAGACAAGAGAAATAGAAAGTTGCAAACAATTTTCATATTAAGTTCTTTGTATGTTTGCATGGTGCATGATAAAATATAATAGGTTGTTTGTGGAAACACCACGTAAATTTATATTATTATTATACATATTATTAGCACTGATGAAGATCCGGGCTTACGGATCGAAAGCTTTGCAGTAATAAATTTACGTGGTGTTTCCACAAACAAAACCTATTATAATTTTCATATTGTATAACTAGTTTAGGATTACGCGATTCAATGTTTAAATAGAGCTTTATTAGTATAATCTAACTATAGATAGATAATTATGTAACCCACTACCCTATCAGCTCTGTCTGTATTTAAATATCGTGGTTAAATAAATGCTTTAACTAACTAACTAACTAACTAACTAACTAACTAACTAAGTACTAGTAGGGGTCGGGAAAATTACATAAAAGCGATCAGGTGACAAAAATAAACTAATCAGTCAAAGCAAAATATCAACAAAAAATGTAAATCACATTACGGAATATCGGAATATATGAATACAAATATACAGAAAACTACAGCAGAAACAACAAAACATATGAAGCAAGTATGGAATAAGGAAATAATTAAAGTACTGTAAGTGACTGCTTTAATTTTGACAGGCAAAGAGACAGTTAGATAGAGTTAAACTTAGCTAGGAAAAATGTTCATTGATGCCGCAGCGGTGGACTGTGCCAAGTGTGGAAATGAGGCGTCCAGAATTAGGACAGAAGGCTCGAATTTCCATATCTGAAACATTGTGATTGCCAGTATTAAAGTGTCTGGCAACAGCTGGTTAGCATCATTACCAATGATTACATGCCGATGCTCACCAAACGTTGTCCTATATATATATTTGTAAGTACCAAATCAATTAGATATAATTGCTAGAAATTATGTAATTTATCATTATGACCACAGTTCTAGATCCTAGATCGCCATGAAGGAACAATGAAGTCACGATTAGTCAATGATAATTAAATTAAACTTAAGTTGCTTTCCAAAAAATTGAAAAAACTACCAATCACTATTTTGCTTTATTTTACGTTCACATTTACCATCAACAATAAAAAAGTACAAATAATAACGGCTTATTGACCAATCGTGAGGTCTGTACTGGGAAATATCAGACCAGATTTTTTAGTATGGACTGGGCGACGAAGGGGCGAGGTTCATGCAAAAAACAAAGGTCTGATATTTCACAGTACAGACCGAACAAGCGAGCTCAATAATTGGTTTATTATATGGCTGAACTGAGTCTGTGAGCATATGCTTTTCGCGACAATTAAATCGGCTATCGTCATCAGTTTCACGAGGTAACAATACGTGGTAGGCATGCATGCTCAATCAAAAACAATTTTGTTTTTCAGGTAAAGCACAATTGGAAAATTAAAAAGCAAAATTTTTTTCTGTTTGCAAAGCAAATATTTCCCGCCAGATAAACGACATCCGGGACACCGGTCCAGATACGGAAAATACGGACCACGGTCCGGATATGGGTTTTACGGACCGCTTGTCAACCAATCAGAATAGAGAATTTTGAAAAGCCATATAATAAAACTAATTATCTCCCTCCTTAATTTCCCTGCCCGCAAGACCCTCCCCTCAAATAGCCGGGTGTTACTATTTGGGTTTTAATGTGCTTTGGCAAACCTATAGGTAAACCAGCAGGCAAAATTGTTTAATTTCCGTTTGTAGAATGTCACGTACGCTACTATCTCAACGTAGACCGCTGTGCGTACTACTGGGCAGACGGTGCAGCAGGAAACAATATTGGTGGTCGTAAGTACATTGGAGGATCAAGAGTTCTGTCTGCCGAACGGAAATCTGTTAAAGATTGTATAGTTTATAAACTGGTGGAAGCGAACGATGAAGTGAGCAATGAGAATGCTACTTGGCAGAATGTAACAACTCAGAGTAGAGTATCATGTATACCTATGCCTTAGAAATAAGTTGGTATGCAGGATTGTGTGTGAAGATAGAGTTACGCGAGCAACAAAATTGCTGCAACTTGTAACTAAATTTGATTCAGTCAACGCATGTTGAGTAGAAATGTCGGCGCATGTTGCCTTGTGATTTGTAATTTATGTGTAAACATTTTCAATTAACATGCGTAGAAATTAGATTTTGTTGCATTTGGGCAGCAATTTTGTTGCTCATGTAACTCCACCTTAATACCGAGATGAGGGATATGTGGCTAAACCTGGATATTAATTGAATTAAAAAATTGTTCAATAATTAACCGAGCCATCTTTTGCTCCCTCTAAATTGTACACTATTATATAGAATCCCCCTCTTAAGCTAGTGCTCCAGTCCTATATGAGTTTTGGACCATTGTAAAAAAGTAATATATCTTTAAAGAGTAAAATAATATTATCTGGATTTTGGGCACCTCGCTCGATAGCATTAAATGTAGAAAAAATTCTTGTAAATAGAAGGTATAAATTAGTACAAATTTTATACATTATTAGAGAATAACTGCACCAACTCAAGCAATCAGCTTCGAGTATTTCATTGCTCTACTGTACTGTATATAGAGTCACTAGTAACTCTATATAGAGTCACTAATGTATTTAATAGAGTGGTTAATAAATTCATAAAAAATCACACCTAAAGCAGTACAAGTTGTCCAAAATTTACAAAGTAAGAACACCAGCATTTTCGTTATAATTATGGCATTAACACGTACGCACATCAATTCCCACCCAAATAAACTAACTTCAATATGCCGTAGTTCAAGTCATAATTCAGTACTGTTCATTTCACTCAAAATTCAAATTTAATGTAGTATCCCCATGAGCTAACGTCACCTGCACTTTGCCACTTTAGACGATAGGTCTTTCCTTTGCTCCTTATTTATACACTTCTTTTTCGCGACAACTTCGTTGGATTCTACTTCTCCACTTGCAATTGGACTCTTTGGTGTTTGTAAGACATTTGTTACTTTTTGCAGCTGTTATGTTATCTTGACTATATTTTTTATTGTTGTTGTCTATCGCCACAGAGAAGCTGGCTTATTTATATTACATAAAACAGGAAGTAACTAACCGGACATGAATATACAACATCCTCCTTTCTTTAAGATATTTTTACAAGTTTCTTAATTTTACATAAAAATTATATTTAGTATTATTTATATATCTCTAGATTGTTTATCTTCAGATTGTTTTTATCAAATGTTCTAATTTATAATTCTAACTAATGGTATTTGTATTAATGCATAAATCTTACCGATCGTGTTCTTATTTACGACTGTTCGATACTAACTACTTATAGATTAGGACTGTTCGATACTATCTACTTATACATTAGCCTGTCCGGCTTTTTAATTATACGACCTGAGCGTGTTCGAACTTCTGGTCGATTAGGTATCTCAACACTTCTTTTTCACTTTGGTTATCTTTCACAGCTGCAGGACTTGTTGGTCCAGGTGTCTTCTGGATATCAGGCTTGATTAACTGTCTATTCCTCCGTATTTGAACTCCGGATTCATCCTCTGTAATATAGGAACGAGGAGTTGGTCCGAACCCAACTACTCTCGCTGGACTCCATGTTTTTTTCAGAGGGTCTTGAACTTGTACAGCTTGATTTTGAAAGAGATTTGGTTTCTCTTTCGAATCCCTGTTATATAGATTGATTTGTTTCTTTTGTTGTGTTAATAACAAGTCTCTGGTTTCGTGCCAATCGTTTGGTGGATGAATCTTTACTGGTAATGTTGTCTTGAACATTCTTCCATTTAGTAGTTCTGCTGGAGATTTGAGTGTTGCACTTAACGGTATAGAACGTAACGACAGCAATGCAAGACTAGGATCAGTTCCGGATTCTTCGCATTTCAACAGGATCTTCTTCACAGTTTGGACCTGTCTCTCAATGAAGCCATGACCCTTTGGGTAGTACGGTGACGAAGTCACCACTCTGAAACCATATCTCTTCGCTAGGTCTTGAAATTGGGCAGAAGTGAATTGGGTTCCATTATCACAAATCAGGGTTTCTGGTATGCCTTGCTCAGAAAATATTGATCTAACCACATTAACTACAGTGGTTGCTGTTAGATTATTCAACTTCTTCACGAATGGAAACTTCGAATAATAGTCAGCGATAACTATGTACCAGAAATTATTTACCTTGAACAGGTCTGCACTCACAGTGTGCCATGGTCTTCGCGGTACTTCACTTGAAATCATGGGCTCCTTCTGCTGAGAATTCTGGAATTTCTTGCAGGCACAACAGGGCGCCACCATATTCTCAATCTCTTTATATATACCAGGCCAATAGACACAAGATTTTGCGCGGAGTTTGCACTTCTCCATCCCTTGATGACCACTGTGGATTTCTTGCAATATCTTCTGCCGGAGTGATTTTGGAACAATTATTCTACTTCCTAATAGTAGAACTCCTTCTTGAATAGAGATATCATCTCGGTTATTCCAGTAAGGCTTTATTGCTTGCTGAGTTTTCTTTATGCTATCAGGCCACCCTTGCATAACTTGCTCGGTGAGGATTTGAAGAGTTCCATCTTTAGCAGTTTCGTCTTTTATCTGTTGGAGTTCGACAGGTGTGAACTCCACTAGATGATGAATTTTCACTTGCATTCCAGGGATTTCGTCTCCCTCCTTTGGTGACAGTCTCGAAAGTGTATCTGCTATCACCATCTCTTTGCCTGGCTTATATTTGATGATACAATCGTATGGTTGCAAGCGTAGGAGCATTCGTTGAAGTCGAGGAGGTGCCATGTCGAGATTCTTCTTCTGGATCTGTTCCAAAGGACGATGATCACTTTCCACAACAAATTGCCTTCCATATAAGTATGTGTGAAACTTCTCACAACCATACACCACTGCTAATAACTCACGCTCGATGTTGGCATACCGACTCTCAGCAGGAATTAGGGCTTTCGGTGCAAAGGCAATGGGCTTATTCTCTTGTAATAAGACGGCTCCCAAGCCTTTACTTGATGCGTCTACTTGTAGCACAACTGCTTTGCTAATCAATGTTATCCCGGAGTAACTCCCTCAAAGGTGCCGTGTGACTCGCCAAGTTAGGCATAAATGACGCCAAGTAGTTGACCATACCAAGGAACGTGTGAAGTTCTTTCTTATCTTTGGGTGGTTCCATGTTCTGTATGGCTATGACTTTCTCTGGATCTGGTTTGACTCCACTCGAGGTGTATACCATACCAAAAAAACTGCATTCGGACGTCTTGATGATGCACTTCTGTTGGTTGAGTTTGATGCCAGCCATTCTTGTACGTTCCATTGCATCATGAAGATGTAGATCGTGATTTGATTCATCTCGGCCATGGACTGTGATATCGTCTGCGATCCCAGTAGCACCAGGACAGTTCCGATAAGTTTCATCGATCTTGAATTGAAAAACATCTTGGCTCATTCGAAGACCAAATGGCATCCTAAGGAATCTATAACGACCATTCGGTGTGTTGAAAGTTGTTAGATAGGATGATTCGTCATCCAGCTTAACATTCCAGTATCCGTTACGAGCATCTATTTTGCTGAATACCCTAGCTCCAGCTAACTATGGGGTGATTTCCTCTAAGGTGGGTGTTGGGTAATGATCCCTCATGATTGCTTCATTTAAGTCTTTAGGGTCAAGACATAAACGAAGTCTTCCATTGGGCTTTTCTCTTATAACTATTGAGTTAACCCAATCGGTAGGTTTTGTTACTTTTTCTATTACCCCGTTCTTTTCCATCTCATTAAGTTCGAAATTTAGTTTATCTACCAGTTCTAATGGTACTCTGCGAGGTGCATGAACAACTGGTTTAACTTTAGGATCTAGGGTAATATGGTAGGTGTAATCTTCAAAACATCCAACTGACCCGTCAAAACATTCTGGGTACATCTCAATCAGATGCTCTTTGTCCTTTATACGAGGACGGCTTGTTATTGGCACAGAAGGTTTAATATAATTTCTGGATTGGCTTTGTTGCTGATTTATTATCTTTGCCTGATCTGCAAATCTAACAGTCTTACTGGGCTTTACTTCCTCTTTCCTAGGCCCCTGGGCAACATCTCGAGAGACGTTCTTTCCTTGCACACTTTTTGTTTCCAGTGCACAATGAAGTGAAACCAGTTCAAGGGCGCCTCTACACGCTTTTATTGATTGATTAGTTTATTTACCCACAAATAATATTTACAAGTTGAATATTTAAGAATATATAAACGGGCTAGAGACCTCTGGAAATCCTGTTGGACTTTTAAGACGAGGCCCCTATAGTTTTAGTGTTCAGTAATACAAAACTAGATTATGTACATAAAGACAATTTGCAATGAAAAACACAAAGTATTTACAAACAAATATGGAAAATGTTTAAGGAATATTTAGTACATTACAGAATACTGTCATTAATATTCCTGAAATATTTACATCAACTAGACATCAAGTAATAAGATTTTGCAGTTTTCTTAAAAGAAAAATAAGATTTAATATTTTTAATTTCCTCATCAAGGTAATTCCATATAGAAACTCCTTTGTTAAATACAGTGTATTTGCGATAGTTTGTTCTCTTATAGCTCACATGTAACTTGGTAGAATTTCGAGTATTATAGTTGTATAGTTCGTTATTTTGTTTGAAGTAATCATTATAAAAGTCCGGGAAATTTTGACAATAATTGAAGCGATACATGAATAAGCTGCATAGATAATCATTAATTTTGTAGATATCCAAGATTTTCAATTGTAAAAATATTGGTTCAGAATGATCCATATAAGATTTAAAACAGATTAGTCGTACAATTTTCTTTTGCACATTTAGTAACTTTTGTAACCTTGTTGGGTATGTACTTCCCCAAACTAGATTTCCGTACGTGAGGTATGGATAGACCAATGCATAGTAAATCAATTTCGAAGTGTTTTTGTTCGTAAAATGTCTTAGTTTAGCAATCATACCCGCAGATTTAATTATGTTTTTCAGAACGGAGTTGATGTGGTTCTTCCATGTCAACTCTTGATCAATTAATACACCTAGGAATTTTACCCAAGGTACTTGTTCAACTATATCATTATTTATTTTTACTATGATTTCTTGATGCTGTAACTTATTTTTTTATTTAAAAATGACAAATTTTGTTTTCGATGCATTGATTGATAATTTATTGGCGTTAAGCCATTGCACTACTTCATTCATTTCATTTTGTATAGTACTAGCTAAAGTTTTTAGGCACGAATTTGAATAAAAGGCATTTGTATCATCGGCATATAAGACAAAAGAAAGAATTTTACTGCAGTTTTCAATGTCATTAATGTATATTAGAAATAGTAGCGGTCCAAGAATTGAACCCTGTGGGACGCCAGTCCTAACACTCATTTCAGTTGACCTATGTTGTTTATATTTGACTATTTGAGTCCTTTCCTGTAAATAATTTATAAACCATTGTAGACCTATACCTCTAATTCCATAGTGTTGAAGTTTTTTAATGAGAATTTCGTGATTGACAGTGTCGAAGGCTTTAGAGAGATCAAGGAATATACCTACAGTATATTTACCTTCATCTATTGCTTTGGATATTTTATCGGTTAGTTCAAGAATGGCATGCTCAGTTGATCTATTTTTTCTAAAACCAAATTGATGTTCTGAAAGTATACGATGTTTTTCAACATAATTAATCGCTTGTGCATAAGTTTTTCAAGTAGTTTTGAAAAACAAGTTAATACCGATATAGGTCGATAGTTTTCAAATAGATTATTTTCCTTAGCTTTGAAAATAGGAGTAACTAAAGCTATTTTCAAAAAATTTGGTATTTTTCCAGTTTCAAATGATAGATTATAAATATATGTTAGAGGTTTAATTATTTCTTCACTGATGATCTTTATCATTTTCGCGCTTATGTCATCATGTCCTGCACTTTTAGTTTCACTTAAGTTATTAATCTCAATTTGCAGCTCATATTCAGTCACAGGTTCTATAAACATACTTTCAACATAGTTGCCATTAAGGTAGCTTTCATACGTTATGTTATCATTTTTGGGAATTTTTTTCGCTAGTTGTGGACCAATTTTCACAAAATATTCGTTAAATTTGTTAGCAATTTCCAGGGGATTTGAAACATCATTATTTGAATTCTTCTGTAAAAAAGTATCGGGTAGTTTTGATCTGGTTTTATTTCTGTTAAGAACTTCGTTAATAGTTTGCCATGTCTTTTTAATATCATTTTTATACTTAAGAAATTGTGTTTCATAAAAGGCCTTTTTTGCGGTTTTTATTACGTGATTCAGTTTGTTTTTGTATTTTTTATAGGCTGTTTCATTTCTATAAGATGGCTTTTTTAGAAATTTTTTATAGAGTTTATTTTTCTTGGATATAGATTTAAATATACCAATTGTCATCCAGGGACTTTTTGTGTGATCCACAGTTTTCTTTTTTATTTTTGCTAAAGGAAAACATTTATCAATTGCAACCTTCAAATTATTGTGAAAATTCGTATAGGATTCACAAGGGTCATTGGTTTCGAAAGTACTTTCCCACGATATATTTTTCACAGATAGTAAAAACGAAGCAAGATTATCTTTGTCGACCATTCTTCTATAATGTGCATTTCCTCTTTTTGTATTATTTTTATTTGTGGATGAAGAAGCTATATGAAATATGGGGAGATGATCTGAAATATCTGAGAAAATTAGTCCATTTACACCAGAATCTATTTGTTCAAGATTGTTTGTAAAGATATTATCAATTAACGTGGCTGTATGCTGCGTAATTCTAGTTGGTCTATTTATTCCCAATATAGCTGGTCCTACTGCATCAGTTACGTAAAAATTACAGTTAAATTTCCCTCTTTTATGTTGACATGGTATCAGTATTTTTCCAAATTGGTTAATCTCAGATCCCCCATATGCAGTTAAAATAACATCACTTCTTTGCAGAGCACCCTCCCTGGGCATTCCTTCTGCATTAATTAATTCAGGATATAGAACACGAAACAAATCAATGGGCAATACATTGCTCTGAGCACCCGTATCTACTTTGCATTTTAAATTTATATCTCCATTATTCTTACGGTTAACACGTAGGGTAGTAAATATTTCTTCACTAGTAATATTATTATGATTTTCCACACTATTTATTTCAATAGTGCCAATTGTTGGGATATCTGCATACGGGTCAGTCTCATTTTGTTTCTCAAGACTATTAATGGATTTTTTGTTTTTTCGGTATGGCGACTTTGATCTATGTTGGCTCTTAGGTGATTTGCATACTAATTGCCAGTGATTTAATTTGCCACAATTCCTACATGTGGTACCATGCGCTGGACAGTTCCCTTTATGTGGCAGTTTGTGAGTTTTGCCACAATTTTTACACTGTATAATATTATTATGATTTTTATTATCAGCGTTCAATTTCTTGCGAGTAATGTTATCAATTCGCTGAGGATTTCCCTTATTTTGATTTGATAATCAATTCATTTGATGCTTCGTTGCTTCATAACTTCTAGCAATATCTATGGCAGTATTTAATGTTAGTTTTTCATCGCGTCCAATTAAGGATTTCTGAACTTCAGGATCATTTGTACCCCAAATTAGTTGATCGAATAATCTGTCCTCGATTTCTTCATTGCCATTAAACTTGCATTTGGCTGCGATATTTTTAATCTTGGCAATAAAATTATCGATTGACTCACCTTGGTCTTGTCGCATACCTTGTAAAGTATACCTGTGAATTCGATGATTTGTCCGTGGCTCCAAATGTTCCATAAATCTATCGAGAATCTTCGCTGGGTCTTTTTGGTCTTTTACGTCTTCGAATGTCCAACTGTTGTAGATGTCGAGACCTTGCTCGCCAACCCATAGCAGGATATAGCTGACTTGTTCTTCTCCTTCAGCGTCTTTGAGTATACTTTTGAACATCAGCTCACATTTTTGCTTGAATTTACCAAACGCTAAGATCGAGTCGTTAGTTTCCCAATCCATTTGAGGTGCTGAAAACGGTGCACTGAACGCCATTTTCGAGTGTTTTGTATCGAAATGTTTTGTCCAATATTTCTTTCGTCTCTATCGCTGGTGTCGAAAAATCGCTCACATTAACAAGCTGGGGTTTTTATCCCACCGCTGCCACCATGTTATGTTATCTTGACTATATTTTTTATTGTTGTTGTCTATTGCCACAGAGAAGCTGGCTTATTTATATTACATAAAACAGGAAGTAACTAACCGGATATGAATATACAACAGCAGCAAATCATCGCTTGGCCGTTTATAACTTTGTACTGCCGTACTTCTACTGCAGTGTGTATAAAAAAACTGAACCCTTTCAAATTCAAATTAGCTATAACGTATTGTAGTAATTTGACAGCTCTAATTGCTTTAAATTAATGGTTGGATAAGAACACTAGATCTTGTACTCATGGGACAAAACTCAAAGAAATAAAACTTAGAAAATTTAAAAGAAATACTGTAGTATATTCCTTGTGTTCTTACCCAACCATTAATTCAAGGCAATTAGAGCTGTCAAATTACTACAATACGTTATAGCTAATTTGAATTTGAAAGGCTTCAGTTTTTTTATACACCCTGTATGTCTTGTTCTCGCCATAATTGTTTGCTAATAAAAGTAACCACTCTCGCACAGTTGTTTTGTACGCAATTGTAAGCATGAATACACAAATAGTTAAAGTGCACTCTTCCGTCAACCATTATTCTAACTTTAATTGCATGCCTTCAATTCCCTCGTGGATGCGGTCATTCTTTAAGACTGTTTACGGCCCCTCGTGACCTTTTAACTAATTCTCTGGACTCTACTGTACAGTATATCCCATAGAGCACACGTGACCATGATCTACTCTCTAAGGCCCGGTTTAGACGCCGTGCTTTTCATGAGCCGAACTTAATGCAAATGAGCTTAAACAAAGAACTTAGTTAATTAACATTAAGTTCGGCTCATGATAAGCACGGCGTCTAAACCGGGCCTAACCATTACTTAGACCTAACCAAGAGCACTGCGAAAAACGTAACGCAACTACAAGGATATGGCAGGAATGGAACCAGGCATCATCTTAATATATAATCATACAGTGTGTCTCAAAAAAACCGCTATGGAAATTTAACAGGCTGCCGTGCATCATAAACTTAGCTAAACAATTCAATTTTTACATATAGCACGAAAGAGCTGTTATTTAGCTTCTCTATGATAAATTTTTTAAATCGTAACGATAAGAATTGGCCACATACACGTCAAATAAAAATTGCCGGTCGAAATCACATTCTTCCACGTTTGGGAATTGAAAATTAATTAATTATGCAAAGTTAGTCAGTCCAAAAGCAAGGCGAGCCTGCTACAAGGTGTTTGTTTCGTAAAACGTTTTGATTAGGAATGTTTTCTGTTCAGGGATTAACTGAACCATGTTTTATGGACGTTCTGATTGAGTTATTGTCTCACTACGACGAATATCGACGAGTTCAGCTCATTTTAGATAATTTATCATTCAATTTTAATTCCCTCTTGGGAATTGTCTATGGTTCGTTTTCCATGCAACATTCCTAACGGTGGAAGAATGTGATTTCGACCGGCAATTTTTACTTGACGAGTATGTGGCCATTTCTCGATTTGAAAAGAGTATTATTGAAAAGCTAAATAACTGGTTTTTTCGTCGTATGTAAAAATTTAATTGTTTAGCCACGTTTATGATGAACGACAGCCTGTTGAATTTCCATAGCGTTTTTTTTAGACACCCTGTACACTAGAAAATACATGCATGCAGAAACCCTCGCCTTGCTGACAAAACCGTTGTATTTTCCGAACATGAAGTATCTAAAGTAATTGTCATGGTAACACGATAATTTTTTAAGAATATTCCACTGAGCTATAATATTACTGGAGGAGGTGCTCCTATCTTTCCGCCAGTCATTCAAGTGAAGCCAAAAACATGGCGGATCTTACGCCATTGCCATGACTACTGGTTCTTATTTCTCATGGTAATTACCACTGACCAACCGCGATCCTACGCTTTAAACAATATCTTTCACCCCCCTGGTATTTTTCACAAATATGAAATATTTTGGTTTAGTTTGTCTTTGAGCTGAAAATCTTGATATTTTTCACCAATTTTGTCTGTTTTACAAAGTCAGGGAAGACGGTGCATTTTTGCTGTGCCTGTTATGGCTCTAAAAGGAGAATATTACCGGTAAGATTCACGATTTTTTTACTTTCTCGCTTGGCAACGTTGCCATATATTTTTAACACTCGTGGATAATCTCAAAACCTGATGCTATATTAAAAGCGCGAGTATTACTAGTTTAATACAGCAGTTTTTTATTTCTACATTGACATTGTAGTTTTAAGAAAGTTTTCCTGGGTAAACTCTTTCCTGTCTTGTTTTATTAAACTCATTTGTTGGGTTTCATGGTGCTTCGGTTTGTGTTTTGTTTTTAAAATTGTTTATTAATTTAGGTTTTTAATGCTAGTTTTGCCAGGTTTTTGAAATAGCAGCTATCTACTGTGTAGCTTTGTATTTTATACAGGACATGTAGGGTGTGAGTGCACAGCCAACCTTTCCAGCACTCTCCAAAAGTTCAGCATCAAGCAGTTTATATTATTTAACCCATTGAGGGCCAGAACATTTAACTATA